ACGCAATTTCTTAAAGAAATATCACAAGACAACACTTTAGAATACAAGGAGTCCAAATCCCTGACCGTCCAGCGCCTTGGGACATCCTCCCGACGTGAAAGACACTATACAAATGCCTCTGTTTACCAACAGTAAGTAGGAACCCGGTTGTTAGGCGTTTGGTAGATCGCTTTCAGGGCGTAATAATCCCTTCAAAATAAATAATTTGGTCACTCAATCCCCGACTGTTTGTGGGGCACTGCTGTGCACAATTGGCTGCCGCATTTTGCCACAAAATAGTCAGTCAATTCACTTTACAGTATAGACGTCTCAAAGCGCTTCACAGAATATGCTGTAAAGAGAATTTGACTGTATATCTGTGGGCAAAAAGTGAGTGAAAAGCGCTATATCAAATGCAAGGATTATTATTATATTATTATTATCCTGTGAAGCACTTTGAGACGTCTCAACGACATGATAAGGCGCAGTATCAAATGCAAGGATTGTTATTATTATAATAAAGAGGGGACAAGATGAAGAGATTGAGGCTGGGAATTCCAGAGATTTGGGGTTGATAAGATCAGTCAGGAGGCATAGGTCTGCCGTTGACCTTGAACAGTTTCCCCCTTACCATTCACGTGGATTATACTGAAGAAAGCTCACTGATCGTTGACATCAGGGTCTTTGGGCTTTCCATGAGCTTGTTATTTACCCCGGTCACATTCCTCGCTTTATAAAGGAACGGATCTCAGAGGTGCTGTCAGGAGAGATGCTGCCTCGTGCCGTCAGTAACATTCGTAAGTCGATTGCACTCCAAACGGATGGAGTTTTGACAGGCAGGATGGAGATTTAATTAGCACAGAATGTGTGGAGTGGAAGTGGGGGGGTGAGAAGCAGTACGTCAGAATGAAAGAAAGCAGAGCAAAGGCATAGTCGCCAACTCTCAAATGTCAGGGATTTAATTTAATTCCCTCAAGACATCTCATCTCAGGCAACTGGCCTTGTGTCTTCACAAACACAAAAGGTCTGTGCGGTAGGAATGAGTTGGAGAGGGACGGGGGGGCAGAGGTGGAGGGGGAGTGGGAGAAAAGGGTGAATGGGATAAAAAATTGATGTCATTATGACTCCAAATAGGCTTTATAATTTGCAATAGGGGGGAAAGAGGAGAGGTAGGGGTGGGGTCAGGGTGGAACGATCATTCAGTCTCTATCAAATGAATGTCTGCATTTTTCCAATGTTAATAAACATTTCTGCTTCACGTCAGTCTCTGTCAGGCCACTTAGACTTTTACCTGCACGGGTAGGTTCTGGCTATGATGTCTAAATAATGCCAAAGGCTGACATACTGGAAAACTGACACAGACAGCCAATTAATGCTATATGAGGCCATTGCATCAGCATTTTGGTCTGTACTGTATTGAATCCCTGTGGGAAGTCGCAGATATAAATCATAAAGCCTCATTTGTCTTGTAAAAGGTCAGATCTTAAACTGTGAGGCAGATCGGAATATAAATCAGATCTGAGGGGAAGGGAGGGCAATCGCAGATGGGGTTTCGAGGTTTATTATTCCAAATGCTTACTTACAATTAATTATTAGTTTGTGTAACAAAAAAAAACAATCATTTAACTTTACGAGCTTGGCAACTTCACCTGAGCGTGGTTCTATTTATATTGTGTAAATGTAATTGTTGCCTGCTGCGTATTGCCCACAAAATACAGTCAATCCACTTCACAGTATATTCCGTGAAGCGCTTTGAGACGTCTCAACGATGAGATAAGGTGCTATATCAAATGCAAGGATTATTATTATTATTAATAAATAAGATCTGGAATTTCCAGAAATAAATAAGGAACAATAGTACTGTTTCGTTGTGCGTAAGCGTATTGGGAGTCTTTTTTTTTTACAATGTGCTTCCTTTTTACCCAAGGTTTCAAAACTGTTTACTTCTTTTTTTGTTGTAGGGTTTGTGTAATTGTTCCTGTTGGTTTCAACCATAAATGGTTTGAACTATTGTTTGAACTATTGAACTGTTGTTCAAACCTTCTGCTTAACAAAGAAAAAAAACATATTTTTTGTTTTTAGCTCTTCTCTTTTCAGATGATTTGTTACTGATTGGGGGAAAACGATTATAATAATCCTTGCATTTGCCTTTCACGTCGGGAGGATACCTCAACGCACTCTCACAGGATTTACGCTAAAGTGTAGTGACTGTGTATTTTGTAGACGAAAGTGGCAACCAATGTCCCACAAACAGGAACAAAGTGAATGAGCAATTTTATCTGCGGAAATCGCTGTCCCGGACATCAGGAGAAACCACCTTCTCTTTTTAGAATAATTTCATGGGATCTTTGTAGATAGACATTGCATTATCCACTGTTCCACAGTGCAACGGTGGCGTCTGTCTACAAGTGAATGACCCTAGTGAGACCGAGAACTACAGAGGGATCTCCCTGACTTCAGTGGCCCTCAAAGTGGTGCTCCAGATAGTCATTGAACGTGTATCGCAAACATTGGAAGCTCACGGTTTGATCCAGAAGGAGGCGTCTGGCTTCGGTTCTCGCCAGGGTTATGTGGGATCGTTCGTAGCTTAGCATGAGATCACAGAACGTTGTGAGGCTAAGGGAAAACCTTCCTACATTACAATCATCAACTTCCACAAGACTTTCGACCTAGTGCCGTATGAGACCTCATGATGAAACTGGAAGTCATGGGAAAACATGACCAAATCCTTGCATTTTATCCGGAATCTTTATTCCGTTCCAAAAGTGTTGACACTGAGTCCATCGCTCTTGAAAAGGGTTGGGAGGTTGGAGTGGGGGGAGGGTAAGGCAAGGCTGCCAATTGTCACCACCCTGTTCGATGTATTCATCAATAACATGTTGGGTGGCATCGAGATGGATGGACTTTGTGTATCTATTCCAGACCTTTTTGACTGGATTGCAGCATTTCTGTTTCAGACAATATTTTGTGGCTGGGATACACACCAGGGGATGTTATGTGCTGCACTCAACATATTGAACACTGGGCCAACCAGTGGAATATGATGGTGGGTGGCCCCAAGTGCGGAATCATGGTTCTGCATAGCTCAAGAGAAGACATCGAGGAAATTGATTGGAAGATACAAGGAGGTTGTAGTGGGCACCAACTTTTGCTTGGACACTGAGCAAAGAAAAGAGAAAGGGCACTCTGTTCATGCTTGTCTCTCTTCAAGGAAACAAGGTCCCAATGCAGGTCAAGCTAGCAGCATATAAGACCTGTGTGCAAACAGTCCTCCTTTCCTCTTCCGAGCTGCTGGGGATACAGAGGAGAGGAGAGGCTTCCTCCAACCCATTTGCAAAGTCCAGGATCAAGCAGTGAGGTGGATTTGTGGCAAACATGGGAAGGGGCTCCGGCCTACCCTGACCTGTTGCTAAGTATCCTGAATCAGTTTCGCATTGGCACATCTATTTGCCAAGGCCCCTCGCACGAGGACCCGGACTAAGCAGTTGGTGCTGAGTAAGCCTGGTACATGACTTTGGACTTGGACCTTGAGAACATCAAAGTGGTTGGCATATCGCAAGCTGTCCTGTAACGGTCCTCCCACCACACTGAAGGCAGATGTCTGTCAGATAGCTAATGAGGAAACTCTGAGGCTTGGGGCAACAGCTGCTAGAAATCCAGAGTTTGTGACATGGTGGGGAGGGAAGGTGACCGAATGTGACCGAACATTCATTGATTCCATCAAACACCTTGAGCGATCAGATCAACTTTGTCAGGATGTTGAGGTTAGTGCAGTTATTATAATAAAAATAATAATCCTTACATTTGACCTAGCGCCTTTCATGTCAGGAAGAAATCACAAAATGCTTCACAGGTTATAATAATAATAATAATCCTTGCATTTTATACAGCACCTTATAATAATAATAATAATAATCCTTGCATTTGATATAGCGCTTTTCACGTCGGGAGGACGTCCCAAATCGCTTCACAGAACACACTGTAAAGTGAATTGACTGTATATTTGTGGGCGAACGCGGCAGCCAATTGCGCACAGCAATGTCCCACAAACAGTCGTAGATTGAAAATGACCAATTTATTATTGTTGTTGTTTTGGAGGATTATTATTAGGCTCTGTGTGGAGTAAGGAAACTTGCCCAAGGTTTCGCCCTCTGCCTGGAATTGAACTCAGGTCTCTCGCTTGCAAAGCGAGTGCTCTAACCACTGAGCTACAGGACTCCACATCACGTCACTGAGCTGTTTCAAAGAGTTTCACAGAATATACCATAAAGTGAATTGACTGTATACTTAACTGTATATACTGTAATGTGTTAGTAACTGTGTATTTTGTAGGGGAATGTGACAGTAAATTTGCGCACAGCAGTATATTCCGTGAAGCGCTTTGAGATGTTTCGAAGATGTGATAAGGCTCTTTATCAAATGCAAGCATTATTATTATTATTATGATAAGTGGGTTCAAGAAACAAATAGATGTGTAATTAAAGGCTTAAAGAAGCACAGAAATCTTCAACACAGCTACTTTCAATGGAGGAAAGGTATTAGCGGACACAGTGCATTAATAACATATAATAATCTCTGCATTTGAATTCTAATGAATTCGACCGAGCAGGTGGCCCTAGCTGGACAAGCAATGGGAAGCTTGATAGATATTGCTCTCAATGACAGACTTAAATGTTTTAGTTGGTTCAGCTAGGACTCCAGTAACTTCCAGAAAATTTGGAAGCAGAAAATTTCCAGGTGGCGGCACACATACGGATACCGTCAAGCACTATGATGGGTTTCTGCACGTGGCAGACACCCGGCTGACCAAAAGATAAATGCCCTTTAGCCACTGACTCACCGACCAGTGGAAATAATTTCTCCCTGTCGACTCTATCAAAACCTGTCACCATGTTGAAAACTTCAATCAGGTCCCCGTCACCTTCCCTGTCAATGTTTGGAAGAATAACATTCAATCCGGGAGAAACGGTTGATGACGTTTATTGTCGGGATCAGAAGAATCCCACACAGTTGCCGGCATGGAATTTTTCCTTTTAAGTTAGGAATTGACATTACTTTATAACAATCTGAGCTGCTCCAACAGGCGGGCACTTTACATGTCGAACAAGGTCAACGTGGAGGTTCCACTGAAGGGAAATAAAATAAGTCGTAAAGATATCGGACTTTGTTTTGAAGCAGCTTTTCGTTGTTGAGCTGGATTGATGAGCTCAGAGTTCCTTGTTGTTTAAATGCTACGGTTTTGCTCCTCTCATTTGTATACGTACATGAAAAGAAGTCGTTGTGAGTTCCCGGTGAAAAAAAGTGATAGGATACAAGTCACAAGTGCCGATCGGAAGCAGCTTCTCTTGCCCATGTCCGCTGCCGATGCAGGAAATCGTTAAGAAAGCAGTGTTTTCCTCAGGGGCCTTGGAAGCGAGTTCAGGAGTTCCATCCCAACACGACATGAACAACCAGCAGATAACACATCCCGATAGTGGTGGAAATCAACATCATGGGAAAACCCAGCCTGAAAAGAGAGTGAAACAAAAGCGTTGATATCAGGAGGAAAAACAGCCTAAGCTTTCGAGTGCCATATATTTTTTTGGTCAGCCGGGTGTCTGACACACACAGGAAACCCATCACCGTGCTTGAGAGTATCCAAACCAAGCTCCCTCTCGGTCTCTCTCTCTCTCCCTGGAGGGACGCATTCTACTTACCTAATTCCAGAAAGTATTAGGCCCAGGTTGGCAAGAGTCAAGGTTTGGAGATCCCAGAGTGTGCGTTAGGGTAACTGCTGGAGTCTAACCAACTAAAATCGCATAGTTTGCCATTGGTATCACATATTGAGTGGCATTTGGGGATACCAGAGGCTACACAAGTCAACAGACAAGTGGTGTAATTGGTTTCCCTGCCCGCTGATGCAACCCTCATTAGCTCTGAACCTGAACAGTACACTGTGAACCAATGCTGGAGGATGGATGGCTGGGTGAGTGAGGATCGAATAATATAAGCTAGCACTGTGCGTATGCGTTTCGAAAGGTTTGTTCACCCACTAACAGGGACTGTGACCTTGGTTTTGACCATCACACGGCAGGTTGGTTTCACTCCACTGATGACATATTATTCTAAATCGTAATCCTTATCAATGGAATAAATATATTCATGATAATCCTTATGTTTATGTTTCACCCACAAAGTATAGTCAATTCACTTTACAGTATATTGTTTCGAATAGAGCCAGGGAATCTTTAACCCCCACCTGAACAGGGAGACAGCACCCCAGTTTAATGTCTAACCTCTGACAATGAAGCGCTCCCCCAAGCACTGCAGGGAGTTTCAGCCTTTGACTACGAGTTCAGAGTCTTGAGGTGGGGTTTGAACCCACAACCCTCTTGACTCAGGGACGAGAGTGCTACCAACTGAGCCAAGCTGACCCCCTTATAAATAATAAATGCCATCATCTCCGCTTTCTGCGAGACACGTGAGTTTGGATTCAGCTTGAGTCATATTTTTATAGTGTTCAATGCCATCTTAAATTTTAAAGTTAATGTCAAATTTGAACTTAGCAGTAACCCAATTGTTAGTCGATTGGTGGATCACTCTCCGGGGATAATCATCCCTCCAAAAAAAAAATTGGGTTACTCAATCCGTGACTGTTTGTGGGGCAATTGGCTGAGCGCAATTGGCTGCCGTGTTTCACCCACAAAATACAGTCACTACTCTTTACAGTATATTCTGTGAAGCGCTTTGAGACATCTCGAAAAGACGTGTTAAGGCGCCATATAGAATGAAAGAATGATGATGATTCTTATGATTATTATTATTATTATCGTGAGCTACAGCTGCTCCTGGTAACCGCAGAAGCCTATGTTACACTGTTATCAAGTACTGCATTTCACGGTATCCGAGTGGCCTGAAGTGTTCTGTTTAATGGGAGGTCAGAAGCCTAATGAAGTGGCACCATAACAACATCCTCCACACTCAGCAACAACAATACCAGCTGCTAATGGCCACAAAGATGACAGCAATTAAATTATTCAGCCAGCTCGCTAAAGGCCCAACAATTCAGATCCGATACGAAGCATCACAACTTTCACCTTGAGATTCCTCAATGAGGAGTCTGGTTGGAACTTTCCCTGCAGGAAATCTGTTCCAATAATACTATTCCCCGCATTTGTTACAGAGCCCTATCATGTCGTCGAAATGTCTGAAAGCGCATCATAGGATTTTACTGAAAGTGAATAATGATAATAATCCTTGCATTTGATACAGCATCTTATCACGTCGTTGAGACGTCTCAAAGCGCTTCACAGTCTATACTGTAAAATGAATTGACTGTATATTTTGTGGGCAAAACAAAACATACAGTCAATTCACCCCCAACCTCGCCCGACTCCACTGGCTTCCCATCATACAGAGGATACAGTTCAAGATCCTGGTCCTCACCTTCAAAGCCCTCCATAGTCTTGCTCCCCACTACCTCTGCGACCCCCTAATCCCCTACCATCCTGCAATGTAGGGCTTTCCCTGCATTGGAATGTCAACCTGTGAGCTCAAGTCCCGATGTTGAGCTTTGAGTTACAGCCTTCTGACTTAGACGAGAGAGCTACCAACTGAGTCAAGCTCATAACTAGACATAGATTCACACGGTCCTCACTTATATCACTCGCTTACAAGGAAGAACTCCTTAACACCGCGCTTCAGATTCCTGATCAGGGAATCACATTAAGAGATACCTCAAATAGACTCCTTTTGAAATGTCCTTCCACAGTTCACCTCCAAGTTTTTTTTTGTGGGGGGGACACTTTAACATCAACAGTGTTTGCAATGTGCTGGTGAGTGTCTTGAAACAGTTGTACATAGCAGCGGGTGAAGCGCACATTAATTCAGACACCTTCCAGTGTAACAACTGGAGCTAAATATATACTTGAAAGGACAGAGGACAGAGAATGATTGGCTCGGGCTACAGAATGCAGCAGTTTCCCTCTCACTTTGAGACCGTAAACATTTCCAAGTCTATGCTTGTCTTTGCTCCCTGCTCTCCCATTCTCTCTCCGCCCCCATCCCTCACCGCCCTCCATGACCTCCATTGCCAAGGCAACAAAGCCTCAAACCCAGCTTGTCCGCATCAGACAGCATGTTTCCACTCTCTTGCAAATCATCGTCAATTCCAGTTTCCATGTCATGAAATCCCATTTCAAAGACGAGGAGGCTATAATTTGCGGAGCTCTCGGGAGTTCTCTTTGACCATTTGCCCTTTACATTTCTGAGGAATCAAGATTAAGTCTAACCTCAGAACGAGTGAGTAAGGTAATTTTTCTTCAGTCGGTACTGGAAGTACTGCTCTTACTGAAAGAATCGTGTGAAGAATCCTATCCAGGTGGGATGTGATGTGTTAACTTAACACATTGCGAAAAATAGCTGTCAAACCAGTTAATGACAATCTGCTCTTATAAATACACACACACACCACCTACCCACACACACATCCGGTCCCTCCCTATCTTTGGTACAATGCTTTGCCGCAAAAAACCCTATTGTTGTTACGTCCCACAATTATTATTAGAGAGGTTGGGAACAAACAAGGAGATACAATACATAATTAAATTACATTTTATAGAATCTTTCACTTCAGGTGGACGTCCCAAGGCGTTTGACAATCCTGGTTTGGAACCCAAGCTGGGAGTGGGTCCCAAGGGAGTAGCACCTTGAGTAGCACCTTTCTTGTCAGGAGGACGTCCAAAGGCGCTGGAATGGGAAAGATGATGGGGAAAGAGCAGAGGAGTGGAAATAGAGTGGATCATTCCAATAGGGAAGTTGGGACCAGCACCAGATAGGTTGAATGGCTTCCTTCTAAGGTGTAAAGTCTGAAACTTTGAGTTCAGTGATTGTTTTAGCTTTGTTGCTTTACCTCCATCACCCAACATGTCCAGACAATTCCTATATTTCCCAACAATCATCTTTTACCACACAAAAACAAAACAATAATAATAATCCTTGCATTTGATATAGAGCCTTATCACGTTTTCGAGACATCTCAAAGATCATCACAGAATATACTGCAAAGTGAATTGACTGTATTTATCTAGCACCCTTGATGTAGAGTAACGCACAGTGGCATTAAACAAGGAAGAAGGAGAGAGGGAAGTGATCAAATGTGTGGTTGAAAAGGTAGATTTTTAGATGGAATTTAAAGATAGATGAAGAGGGGGCAAGATGGAAGATTGAGACAGAGTTAGAGACGTAGTGAGTGACTGAAGCCACAGACACTGATGTGTGAGGTGCTTCCCATTTGCAAAGTCCAGGATCAAGCAGTGAGGTGGATTTGTGGTAAACATGGGAAGCGACTAAAGGGAGGGAGGCTTCTGAGCCTACATTGACCTGTTGCTCAGCACCCTGGAAGTAGAGTCAGCTAAACAGCTGGTGCTGAGTAAGGCTGGTACGCGGCATTGGAATTGGACCTCAAGAACATCAAGCTGGATAGCATATTACTAGCTGTCCTGTAAAGGACCTCCCACCACCCTGAAGGCACATGTCTGTCAGATAGCTGATGAGAAAACTCTGAGGCTTGGGGCGACATCTGTTGGAAGGCATTACCTGGAGTCTGAGTTGGTGAACCACACATTTCTACATCCAGCTCTTGGAATCCACCTTGCTTGGCTTGGAGAGAGGCAAGCAGCTGCTTCTCCACATCTCCAACTGGTGGAACCATCGCTCTTTGAAGCTCTCACGCATTTCATGTTGGGCTGCAATACCCATCAGGAAGCTGGCGGGGAGCTGCTGTTTCCTACCATGCACCTAGTGAGGGCTCAAAACCGCTCGTCAAATATCAAATCACCAACTGGTGACTAACCTCCTTAGGGAGGAGGTAAGTGGATCTCTTTAGAGCTGAACTGACTCCAAGGTGACATGTTTGACAGTGGAACATTGGAATCGAGACAACTCTCTGCGACAGTCTCGGTAATCCAGCTCCTGAGCCAGGTGGGTCCACAGTATTCCAGGACAGCACAGCCCAGCCTGGCTCATCGGCTTCACAGGATATACTGTAAAGGGGATTGGCTGTATTTTGGAGTGAGTGACTAATTTTATTTGGGGGATTAGTTGACCAGAACAGCGGGAAACAAAAATTCCCTTCTCATCAGGGAGTAGTGTGTTCGAAACTCATATAGTGCCATAGGATCTTTAACATCCAACAGAACAGGCAGACAAGACCCCAATTTAACACCTCATCCGAAGGTCGGCACCTCCGACAATGCAACACTCCCCAGCAATGCATTGGAGGGTCATCTTAGTCTATGTGATTGCAAACACTGATGTGGAAGTTGAACCCACAACCTTCTGATTCAAGGCAAGAGTACTGCCACTAGCAGAGTGAGGAGACTAATTTAATTCACTTGCACTTGGCCTCGCATTCAGGTCCGAGGGATGAACTGCCTGTATGTGAACCCTTTGTACCACCCGAAAGCCCCGCTGAATTTAACTATTGTCCAAAAGCTCTGAGAAATAATCGAACAGTGAGACATCGCC